ATATAAATAATTATTAGGTACACCATGCCGACTTTTATCAGAGGCCTAAGGCACACTTTGGATACAAAAGACCTTTACAGAACTATGAAGGAACACAAGTCAGGTATGAAACAAATGGGAAACCTTTATTAGTAATTTCATTAGGATCAATTAAGATTCGTATCTCACATGAATGGTCAACGGTACATATTATTAATATTATAAATCTCCTTTTCAGGTCCTCTGGGCAATAAATTGTATGCTTCATGGGAGCAAGAACTTGAAAATTCAGGAGGCAACCCAAGCCTGATGAGGGCCCTCCTCCGTGTGTTTGGATGGCAATTCGGTTTCTTAGGGCTGTTGCTTTTCCTGGCAGAGGGTGGACTGCGAATACTCCAGCCCCTACTTCTGCTGAAGCTCATCTCTCACTTCGCACACAGCTCGGAGTCTGCTAATATGGCCTATTTCTACGCCGGAGGCTTAATCCTATCAGTTGGCCTCAATGTGATATGCAAACATCCATGTCTGTGCGGCATCTGGAATTTGTGTAAGTTAAATAGGTAATAGTAAGTTAATAAGCTTTATACTTATATGAATTCTCAGGCTTCAAGGCTAGAGTGAGCTTGAGCAGCATGATCTACCGGAAGTCGCTGCGACTTAGCAGGACGGCTCTTGGCGCTGCTACTTCTGGCCATGTTGTTAACCTTATTTCCAATGATGTCAGTCGCATGGACAATAACGTCCTCTTTGCACACTTTCTGTGGATAGGGCCCTTGCAAACAGCCTTAGTCACTTATCTAATGTACCTTCAGGTAATTGGAAAGTAGAAGTTCTACAAAAGGTTAAACCAACGGAATTTTATTTCTTGCAGATTGGAATCTCAGCCATGTTTGGAGTGGCCCTCATGCTGCTGTTCATTCCCCTGCAGATGTACTTGGGCAAGAAGACCTCCGAGATGCGTCTGAAGGTCGCTCTACGAACGGACAAACGAATGCGAATGATGAACGAAATCATCTCGGGCATCCAGGTGATCAAGATGTATGCTTGGGAGAGGCCTTTCGAGAGATTGGTGGCTCATGCGCGCCAGAAGGAAGTCAACGCCATTTGCTATGGAAGCTATATAAAGGGTATCCTTTCATCCTTCACTACCTTCCTCTCGCGTGCCTCCATCTTTCTCAGTTTGGTCGGTTACGTACTTTTGAGACAGTTTCTTACGCCTGAAGTGGCTTTTATGGTGACAGCTTACTACAATGTCCTGCAAACCACTATGATGGTGTTCTTTCCCCAAGCTATTTCTCAAACGGCTGAGATTCTGGCTACCATTGGTCGTGTCGAAAAGTTTATGCTGTCCGAAGAGGTGGAGCAGGCTGCAAAGAGTGAAGATATCCTGGATGCCAAGTCATATGTGAGATGCGATGAAGCGGAGGATAGGTTATTAACTCCATCCCTTTATACCATTAAAAACCAAGTCGTCCCAGAGTCGAGAATCTCTATTATCGGACTAAAAGCCAAATGGGACCCTAACTGCCCCCATTATACTCTCGACGGAGTGGATCTAATGGTCCAGACTGGGACGATGGTTGCCGTTTTGGGACCCACTGGCTCCGGCAAATCTAGCCTCATTCAGTCTATTCTGGGCGAGCTGTGTGCGGAATCTGGCGAAATTAAGGTCAATGGAACGATTTCCTATGCCTCCCAGGAGCCGTGGCTCTTCTCGGGTACTATACGAGATAACATCCTCTTCGGTCAGCCAATGGATCGCAAGCGCTACGCCAAGGTGGTGAAGCATTGCGCATTGGAGAGGGATTTTGAGTTATTGCCTCTCAAGGACAAAACACTCGTCGGAGAGCGCGGAGCTTCTTTGTCCGGTGGTCAGAGGATGAGGATCAGCTTAGCGAGGGCTGTTTACCGAGAGGCCTCTATCTACCTTCTGGATGATCCCCTAAGTGCTGTGGACTCCAATGTAGGCAAACATCTCTTCGAGCAATGCATGCGGGGCTACCTGAGAGATCGCATCGTAGTTTTGATTACCCATCAAAGGCAATTCCTGCAACGCGTAGATCAGATTGTGATCATGGAAAAAGGACAGGTGTGTGCTGTGGGTAACTATGAGTCCCTGCTTAAGGCGGGAGTAGACTTTTCCACCATTTTGGGTAACCTAGAAAGAACAGAAGACATGGCGGTGGAGGACGATCAGGACCAGGAGGAGGACCACTCAGTGTTGTGTAGTTCCAGCGTTGTACACGACGGGAAACAATCCAATAGCGAGGAATCTTTGCTAACTATCATGGATTCGTGTCTGAAAAAAATCAGCGTGGAGCGTCAAGGGTCAGGACACATTGGCTTCGGCTTATACAAGAAGTACTTCAAGTCTGGAGGCGGGTTTGTAGCTTTTCTAGTGATGATGAGCTTCTTTGTTGTTTCTCGGAGTTTAATCGCCTTGGGAGATTATTTCCTTGTTTACTGGTAAGTTCATTACTAAATGAAAAACAACTTTAACTCTATTAATATATTTTTTTTTAGGGTCGCGAAGAACAAGAACAACATTGATCAGGATCCTACGATGCAAAATTCGGATTGGCCATTGGGCAATGAACAAAAGGACATTTGGCTGTTTACGCTAATCACAGTGTTGTCCATTATAACAACAGTGTCGGCCTCGTTTCTAATATTCAACCTGGCCAAGAAATGTTCCATTGGACTGCACAGCTCCATTTTCAATGCGATATCGCTTGCTTCCATGTACTTCTTCAACACGAATCCACCGGGGCGTATACTTAATCGCTTCTCGAAGGACTTGGGACAGGTGGACGAGGTGCTTCCTGTCGTGATGATGGACGTTATCCAAACCTTCCTGTGCCTTACTGGCATAGTCATCATCATAGCCGTTGTTAATCCGTTGCTTCTCACTCCAACATTTGTGATCAGTATAGTTTTCTATAAGCTTCGCACTTTCTATCTGAAAACATCCCGAGATGTGAAGCGTATTGATGCAATTGGTACGAACTTATTCATTGATTTAATATTTTTGATTATATCATTGTAGAAGAAGAGCTAAAACTCCTTTATTTGCAGCCCGATCTCCGGTTTACTCTCACTTGGCGTCATCACTAAGCGGCCTGTCCACCATTCGCGCTTTCCAAGCTCAGCGCACCTTGGAGGCGGAGTTCGATAGCTACCAGGACACTCACAGTTCTGCATTTTATACCTTCCTTACCACATCCCGTGCCTTTGCCTATTGGCTGGACTTCCTATGTGTCATATACATGGCAATAGCTACGCTCAGCTTTTTTGTCTTCCCGCCGGCTAACGCAGCAGATGTGGGATTAGTTATCACTCAAGTAGATAAAAATAACCCTGCCCGAGTATTTTATTTACTATATATTTTTAATTAATAGGTTCTGGGATTGACGGGTCTGGTGCAGTTTGCAATACGACAATCCGCTGAGCTGGAGAACCAAATGACCGCAGTGGAGCGAGTGGTTGAGTACGAGGACATTGAGCCAGAGGGAGTATTAGAAGGATCAATGGATAAGAAACCACCTAAGTCGTGGCCAGAAAAGGAAAAATAATCTTCGATGAACTAAGCATGCGCTACAGTCCAAATCTGAAGTCGAAATGTGTTCTTAAGTCGCTCAATTTTGTGATAAAACCCAGAGAAAAAATTGGAATAGTTGGACGTACAGGTGCAGGAAAATCTTCGCTGATCAATGCTCTTTTCCGACTTTCTTACAACGAAGGATCGATTCTCATTGATAAGCGAGATACGAACGATATGGGTCTCCATGATCTGCGCAGCAAGATATCGATCATTCCCCAGGAACCTGTGCTCTTCTCCGGCACAATGAGATACAATCTGGATCCATTCGACGAGTATAGTGACGACAAGCTGTGGCGCAGCCTGGAGGAAGTAAAGCTGAAGGATGTGGTGGCAGATTTGCCCAATGGCTTGCAGAGCACAATCACAGAGGGCGGAACCAATTTCAGTGTGGGTCAGCGCCAGTTGGTCTGCTTGGCCCGAGCTATTCTGCGCGAGAATCGCATCCTGGTAATGGATGAGGCCACGGCTAACGTAGATCCGCAGACAGATGGGCTTATCCAAACCACCATTCGAAACAAGTTCAAGGATTGTACAGTGCTGACGATAGCCCATCGTCTGCACACGATAATGGACTCCGACAAGGTGTTGGTTATGGACGCTGGACGAGCTGTGGAGTTCGGTACGCCGTACGAGCTGTTAACAAAGGCAGATTCTAAGGTTTTTCATGGCATGGTGAAGCAGACCGGCAAAGCTACCTTTGACGGACTGTTAAAAATCGCTCAGAAGGTTATTACATACTTACATATAAATTAACTTTACTTAAGCACTTATTAACAATTAATTACAGGCTTTTCAATGTTCCGTCTCTCACCGCACCTAAACAAACAAACCGGAACTGTTTGGATTTTGAAATTCCTGAAATGCTCCATTTTTGCGAGCTTGACGATTTTGATAGCTGAACACACATTTTAAGCCATACAATAAATCATGAGCGAAAATATAAAACAATTTTGTTTGAAATGAGCTTTGACAAAGCTTTGTTATACTTTTTTTAAACCTTTTTTCCTATATTTATAACGATGCTTTTGGCTATTAAATAACTCTTATCTATGTTACTTTTTGGCGGTATAAGCACATGTATGAAGTTCAGTGCGCTCAGTGGCATAGAGGTCTCTTTGGATTGCGGACTGGCCTAAAGCATTCATTTTGCGAGAGGGTCAGCCCATAATATTTTTAGTACATAAACAAAAAAAAGGTAAGTTCGTGTGGATCATAAGTGTGTGACTTGATTAATTAATTGCCGGTTGAGCGAGAACCGGAATGTGATTAAAAAGCATTGCTCAACAATATTGGGCTACATAAACAGCTGTTCTGATAACTAAAAGCGTGGTGGTATACACAATAAAAATTGTAAATAATCTAAACATAGACTATTTAAATTTAATTTGATTTTTAAACTTGTACTTTATTAGTCTTTAAAATGGGTTCCATAGAGAAGGAGGACTTACAGGAAAATCCTAGGGTGCGAGCGAATTGGTTTTCAATTTTAACTTTCGGGTGAGTAAAAATCATGCCTTACATATTTAGTGAATTTTTATTTAATGAATAATAAATTATTTTAGGTACACCATACCCATTTTTAATAAGGGTCGTAAACAGACCTTGACCACAAAAGATCTTTACAGAACCATGAAGGAGCACAAGTCTGGTACGAAATCATAAAAATAAAATGATAACTAAAGTAAACATTTCATTGTATAGTAAATTCTGATCCTCAAGGTTATGAGCCAGACAGATTATGTAAGATTATGTATAAGTTTTGATAATTTAAATGTAGAATCACTTTCTTCCAGAACATCTTGGCAACAGATTATATGATTCGTGGGAGCAAGAACTTAAAAGATCAGGAGGAAAACCCAGCCTTTTCAGAGCTCTGTTGCGGGTATTCGGATGGGAATTCGGTTTCTTTGGACTTGTGCTCTTAGTAGGAGAAGTGGGATTACGTACAGCTGAGCCGTTCCTTCTCCTGAAACTCATCTCCCACTTCACAAACGATTCGGAATCCATAGGGAAAGCCTATCCCTATGCGATCAGCTTGATCTTATCAACTTGGTTGTGCCTGATAATGAGACATCCCACTATGTACGGCTTATGGAATTTAAGTAAGTGTGAACTCGAATAGACTTTTTTGTCTTCTTTATTGTAAAACTTATTCAATACTTTAATTCAATTGGTTTTTAGGTTTAGAGCACGAGTAAGCTTGAGCAGCATGATCTATCGGAAGGCTCTACGACTCAGTACGACGTCTCTGGGCGCTGCTACTTCTGGCCATGTTGTTAGCCTGATTTCCAACGACGTTAGTCGCCTAGACAGTAACATCCTCTTCACGCACTTCCTGTGGGTTGGGCCATTGCAAACATGCATAGTCACTTATTTAATGTACCTTCAGGTATTTGAAATATAATTTTATAATATAATCATAATGATAATAATCTTTTTTCTCACAGATTGGAATCTCAGCCTTGTTTGGTGTGGCCTTTATGCTTCTCTTCATTCCCTTGCAATTATACCTGGGCAAGAAGACCACTGAAATACGTCTGAGGACCGCTCTGCGGACGGACAAGCGGCTGCGTATGATAAATGAGATTATCTCAGGCATCCAGGTGATCAAAATGTATGCCTGGGAGCGGCCTTTCGAGCGTTTGGTGGCCCATGCACGCCAGAAGGAGGTTAATGCCATTTGCCACGGAAGTTATATCAAGGGTATTGTTGCGTCATTCTCAATCTTCCTCTCGCGCTCCTCCATATTTTTTAGCTTAGTAAGTTACGTTCTGTTGGGCCAGATCCTTACGCATGAGGTGGCTTTTAGTATTACGGCCTACTACAACGCCCTGCTAGTCACTATGCTGGTGTTCTTTCCCCAAACCATCACACAGACGGCGGAGATCAGGGCTTCCCTTGGCCGTGTGCAGAAGTTCATGCTGTCTGAGGAAGTAAAGAAGTCCATTAAGAGCGATGATCTCCAGGAAATGATTACTCCACACCCAAAGGAGGGTCATTTGAGGAGAAGGAAAGGTTATTAACTCCATCCCTTTATACCACAAATCCTCACACAGTTCCCCCAAAGTCAGGTATTTCAATTACCGGACTAAAAGCCAAATGGGACCCTAACTGCCCTGAGTATACTCTCGACGGAGTTGATTTGACAGTTCAGCCCGGGACAATGGTTGCCGTTCTGGGATCTACCGGCTCCGGCAAATCCAGCCTCATTCAGGCCATTCTGGGCGAGCTGCGAGCGGAATCTGGCGAAATTAAGGTCAATGGATCGATGTCCTATGCCTCCCAGGAGCCATGGCTCTTCTCCGGCACCATGCGAGATAATATACTCTTTGGTCAGCCAATGGATCGCAAGCGCTACGCCAAGGTGGTGCAGCAGTGCGCTCTGGAGCGTGATTTCGAGCTGCTGCCTCTTAAGGACAAAACGCTGGTGGGGGAGCAAGCAACTTCCTTGTCTGGTGGCCAAAAGGCGAGAATCAGCTTAGCGAGGGCTGTCTACCGAGAGGCCTCGATCTACCTTCTGGATGATCCCCTAAGTGCTGTGGACTCCAATGTAGGCAAACATCTCTTCGAGGAATGCATGCGGGGCTACCTGAGAGATCGCACCGTAGTTTTGATTACTCATCAAAGGCAGTTCCTGCAACGCGTGGATCAGATTGTGATCATGGATAAGGGACAAGTTCGTGCAGTGGGTAACTACGAGTCCCTGATCAAGGAGGGCGTGGACTTTGCCAACGTTGTGGATGAGCATCAGCAAAAGGAGGCAAAGGAACAGATAATGGAGCATACTGAACAAGAAGAGGATCGCTCTCGATTAGGTAGCTTCACTAATACTCAAGGAAAGCCAAGGTGCAATAGCGAAGGATCCTTGCAATCTATACCCGATTCATGTCTTGAAAAGATCAGTGTGGAGCACCAAGGGTCAGGTCGTATTGGCCTCGGCTTGTACAAAAAGTACTTTACGTTTGGCGGTGGACTTTTCCCTTTCCTTGGAATAATAATCTTGTGTTTACTTTCACGGGTATTCATCTCTATATCTGATTGCTTCCTGATTTATTGGTAATTTTAAATTAACTTTTCTTAAAAATCTTAAAAAGAGCTTTATATATATATTTCCTTATAGGGTTTCCAAGAATCATGATAGAGCCGCTCAAGGAGGAAATGATACGCTTCACTCAGATCTTCCTTCAATGTGGTTACAGAACACAGGCTGGTCTTTGAGTACTGAACTAATCGACATTGGCCTGTTTACGTTTATTACATTCTTCTCCATTGTCACAACAGTGGCATCCTCAATTCTAATATTTAACCTGGCCAAGAAATGTTCCATTGGGCTGCACAGCACCATTTTCAATGCGATATCGCGGGCCTCCATGTATTTCTTCAACACGAATCCACCGGGGCGTATACTTAATCGCTTCTCGAAGGACTTGGGACAGGTGGACGAGATGCTTCCTGTCGCGATGATGGACGTGATACAACTCTTCTTATTACTTGCTGGCATAGTCATCATCATAGCCGTTGTCAATCCGTTGCTTCTCGCTCCAGCCTTCGTGATCGGCATCATTTTCTATAAGTTTCGAACCTTTTATTTGAAAACATCTCGGGATGTTAAGCGGATTGAGGCCATTGGTAAGTGATTGCAAATAGATAAGTGTGATAGATTACAGAATTATAATTTGATGTGCAATTAGACTATACATTTTAAACACCTCTTATTTTACTTACAGCTCGATCTCCGGTTTACTCTCATTTGGCGTCTACGCTGACCGGCCTATCTACAATCCGGGCTTTCGATGCTGAGCACATCCTTGAGGCAGAGTTCGACAGTTACCAGGATACGCACAGTTCTGCATTTTATACATTTCTTACAACATCCCGTGCCTTTGCCTATTGGCTGGAATGGTTTAGTGTCAGTTACATAGCAATCACCACGCTTAGCTTCTTCGCCTTTCCGCCGGCTAACGGCGGCGAAGTGGGCTTGGCCATTACACAGGTAAGTTGTAATTGAACCGTCATATATTAAGTACAAATAAAATAAAATAATAATTACAATTTTACAGGCTATGGGCTTGTCAGGCCTGGTGCAGTGGACAATGCTTCAATCCGCCGAACTGGTCAACTTAATGACTGTTGTAGAGCGAGTGGTTGAGTACGAAGACATCGAGCCGGAGGGAGAATTGGAAGCGCCAATGGACAAGAAACCTCCGAAGTCATGGCCAGAGCAAGGGAAAATCGTGTTCGACGAGCTAAGCTTGCGCTACGTGCCAAACCCCAAGGCAGACTATGTCCTCGAGTCACTAAACTTTGTCATAAAGCCAAGGGAAAAAGTAGGAATCGTTGGACGTACAGGAGCAGGAAAATCTTCGCTGATCAATGCCCTTTTCCGACTGTCCTACAACGATGGATCCATTCTCATTGATAAGCGAGATACGAACGATATGGGTCTCCATGATCTGCGCAGCAAGATATCGATCATTCCCCAGGAACCTGTGCTCTTCTCCGGCACAATGAGATACAACCTGGATCCATTCGACGAGTATAGTGACGACAAGCTGTGGCGCAGCCTGGAGGAAGTAAAGCTGAAGGATGTGGTGGCAGATTTGCCCAATGGCCTGCAGAGCAAAATCACAGAGGGCGGAACCAATTTCAGTGTGGGTCAGCGCCAGTTGGTCTGCTTGGCCCGAGCTATTCTGCGCGAGAATCGTATCCTGGTAATGGATGAGGCCACGGCTAACGTAGATCCTCAGACAGATGGCCTTATCCAAGCCACTATTCGCAACAAGTTCAAGGATTGTACAGTGCTGACGATAGCCCATCGTCTGCACACGATCATGGACTCCGACAAGGTGTTGGTTATGGACGCTGGACGAGCTGTGGAGTTCGGTACGCCGTTCGAGCTGTTAACAAAGGCAGATTCTAAGGTATTCCATGGCATGGTGAAGCAGACGGGCCAAGCCACATACGAAGGACTATTAAAAATTGCACAAAAGGTTCGGCATTTGCATAATTCGTAAGTGATTATACCAACTGAAAATATGATTCTTCATTTTAGGCCTTTGAGGACAGCCAGGGTCTGCGCCGTTCCTCATAAGACTCAGGGCATATGGAACAAAATATATAGAAATTAAGCCAACGTGCTTAATACCGAGTAATTAGCCGATTAAATGTAGTTAGCTTAACTAATGTTAGTTTGCTTTGAATGTGTTATATCGTGTGAGTGTAAATATGTTTGACCGTGTGTATGTTGTTTACTGGTTTGTGTAAATGAAACACTTTATAGTTATCCGTTGCTTATTTTTCTATTTGTATTTAAATCTCACTAAGCGCAAAGAAGTGCCTTTGAAAATAAACGAAATATTTCTACTTAGACATTTTAATGGATTCATTGGGTACTAAAATATACATATGTAAAAAATTACACGAAAAACGGCGCCATCGTGACTTGCAGATTTAATTCATTAACATATGCGTCTGTTTATTTTACCTAAAACTTTTTGTTTACTACTTTTCCGCCACCAACTCTCAATGGCTTTGTATATTTAATCTTACTAGCGTCGATCCGCGACCTATCTTTATAACAATGCAATTTGATATTAAACAACTCTTATCTTACTTTCTGGATGATTAAGGCGCTAATAGCCGATGTCCTAGCCTTGCCGATCTCAGTTCCACCAAACCTCTTGAACCGAGCGGATATATTGTGTCTTGAATTATTAACTTTTCGATATATATTTATGTATACATATATACTTCGTTTTTTAATGTGAAGATTATTATAATAATATACAACGTACTTGCATATACATAAATCGTTTCTTTACGTTTGAGAGCTAAAAATAATGTGTTTAGATAACAGTGCTTAAAAATATTGTGGATGCAGACAGACAACTATTTTGATAACATAGTTAAATGCATAGTAACTACACAAAGAAAAAACATAGTTAAGCTAAAAAAATCATGGATTACTTAAATAAAATGGAGTCAATAGAATCGGATGATTTGCCGGAAAATCCTAGAATGCGAGCGAATTTTGTTTCTATTTTATCTTTCTGGTAAGTAAATAATTCTACATTTGCTAAAACTGTTTTTAATGGCACAGAAATAAATATTAGGTACACCATTCCCATTTTTATCAAGGGCCTTAGACACACTTTGGACTCAAAAGATCTCTACAAAACAATGAAGGAGCACAAGTCAGGTATATGTAAAAAGATAAATAAATTAAGGAAACTTTCTGTTAGTAAATTTTATCAACCAGATAAGGCAATTCTTGTATCGCAAAGAATTAAGATTCTTATCTCACGTGAATAATGCAATTACTTATGATTATACATATTTATATTTTACTATACAAAGCCGTCACTCTTCCAGAATATCTGGGCAACAAGTTGTATGCTTCATGGGAGCTGGAACTTGTTGGCTCAGGGGAAAACCCCAGCTTGATGAGGGCACTTCTGCGGGTGTTTGGATTGCAATTCGGTTTCTTTGGACTCGTGCTCTTAATAGCGGAGGGTGGACTGCGGACACTCCAGCCCCTACTTCTGCTGAAGCTCATTTCCCACTTCTCACATGGTTCGGAGTCCACTTATGTGGCCTTGTTCTATGCGGGTGCTTTGCTCGTATCAGTTGGCCTCAACGTGATATCCAAACATCCATGTATGTGTGGCATCTGGAATTTATGTAAGTTTCAAGTATCTCCCAGATTTCATTTTTTAATTGTCTCAGAGCATATCTAATTGGCATATTTTTATATTCCAAACATGGACTATCAGGCTTTGTTGCACGGGTGAGCTTGAGCAGCATGATCTACCGGAAGGCGTTACGACTTAGCAGGACAGCTCTAGGCGCTGCTACTTCTGGCCATGTGGTCAACCTGATTTCCAACGATGTCAGCCGACTAGACAGTAACATCTTCCACGCGCACTTCCTGTGGATAGGGCCCCTGCAAACGGTCCTAGTCACTTACCTGATGTACCTTCAGGTAATTGGATAAAATGATAATTCCTCAGAAGTAAGTTTTTATACATTATAATAATTTCAGATTGGAATGTCCGCTGTAATTGGCGTTGCCTTCATGCTGCTTTTCATTCCCCTGCAAATGTACCTGGGAAAGAAGACCTCCGAGGTTCGCCTAAAAACCGCTCTACGAACGGACAATCGAATGCGAATGATGAACGAAATCATCTCGGGCATCCAGGTGATCAAGATGTATGCCTGGGAGAGACCCTTCGAGAAATTGGTGGCTCATGCGCGCCAGAAGGAAGTCAACGCCATTTGCCATGGAAGCTATATAAAGGGTATTCTTTCATCCTTCACTACCTTCCTCTCGCGTGCCTCCATCTTTCTCAGTTTGGTCGGTTACGTACTTCTGGGACAGTTTCTTACGCCTGAAGTGGCTTTTATGGTGACAGCTTACTACAATGTCCTGCAAACCACTATGATGGTGTTCTTTCCCCAAGCTATTTCTCAAACGGCTGAGATTCTGGCTACCATTGGTCGTGTCCAGAAGTTCATGCTGTACGATGAGGTGGAGAAGCCTGCGAAGAGCTATGATCTTATAGATACGTTCACTGACCAGCGTGAGGAGGGTTGCAATGAGGAAGGGGATAGGTTATTAACTCCATTACTCTACTCCATTAATAAGGCAGTTACCTCAAAGTCAAGTATCTCAATTACCGGATTGAAGGCTAAATGGGACTCTGAGAGTCCACATTATACTCTAGACGGAGTGGATCTAAGTGTCCATCCCGGAACGATGCTTGCTGTTCTGGGTTCAACAGGCTCTGGCAAATCCAGCCTCATTCAGGCTATTCTGGGCGAGCTGCCAGCGGAATCTGGCGAGATCAGAGTCAATGGAATTATGTCTTATGCCTCCCAGGAGCCATGGCTCTTCTCGGGCACTATTCGAGATAACATCCTCTTCGGTCAGCCAATGGATCGTCAGCGCTACGACAAGGTGGTGAGGCAGTGCGCTTTGGAGCGGGATTTCGAACTATTGCGCCTGAATGATAAAACACTCGTCGGTGAGCGCGGAACTTCTTTGTCTGGTGGTCAGAGGATGAGGATCAGCTTAGCGAGGGCTGTTTACCGAGAGGCCTCGATCTACCTTCTGGATGATCCCCTAAGTGCTGTGGACTCCAATGTAGGCAAACATCTCTTCGAGCAATGCATGCGGGGCTACCTGAGAGATCGCATCGTAGTTTTGATTACCCATCAAAGGCAGTTCCTGCAACGCGTGGATCAGATTGTGATCATGGACAAAGGACAAGTGTGTGCTGTGGGTAACTATGAGACCTTGCTAAAGGCGGGCGTGGACTTTTCTACTTTTTGGGTGAACCAGAGGAGAAAGAACAACTGGAAGTATTGACTACACATGAGGAGAATCGATCGCGATCGGGTAGTCTAAACCACTCTCACAATGAGGAACGATGCAATAGTGAGATATCCTTGTTATCTATCATGGATTCGTGTATGGACAAGATCAATGTCGAGCGCCAAGAGTCTGGGAACATTGGTCTTCGTTTGTACAAAAATACTTCAAGTCCGGCGGAGGGCTTATTGCTTTCTTAGTAATGATAAGCTTCTTTGTGGTTTCCCGGAGTTTAATAGCTTCGGGGGACTATTTTCTTGTTTATTGGTACGTAACGAATATTATTTAGTTACTTGTTGAACGGAAGTCTTGATGAATATAAACGTATTCTATTTTAGGGTCGCCAAGAATAGGAATGTTTCCCTCCAAGAAAGAAATGATACCCTTAATTCAAATCTAACGAATCAAACTACGGGTTGGTCATTGAGCAATGAACAAAAGGACATTTGGCTTTTTACGCTAATCACAGTGTTGTCCATTATAACAACAGTGTCGGCCTCGTTTCTAATATTCAACCTGGCCAAGAAATGTTCCATTGGACTGCACAGCTCCATTTTCAATGCGATATCGCTTGCTTCCATGTACTTCTTCAACACGAATCCACCGGGGCGTATACTTAATCGCTTCTCGAAGGACTTGGGACAGGTGGACGAGATGCTTCCTGTCGTGATGATGGACGTTATTCAAACCTTCCTGTGCCTTACTGGCATAGTCATCATCATAGCCGTTGTTAATCCGTTGCTTCTCACTCCAACATTTGTGATCAGTATAGTTTTCTATAAGCTTCGCACTTTCTATCTGAAAACATCCCGAGATGTGAAGCGTATTGATGCAATTGGTACGAACTTATTCATTGATTTAATATTTTTGATTACATCATTGCAGAAGAAGAGCTAAAAACTCCTTTATTTACAGCCCGATCTCCGGTTTACTCTCACTTGGCGTCATCACTAAGCGGCCTGTCCACCATTCGCGCTTTCCAAGCTCAGCGCACCTTGGAGGCGGAGTTCGATTGCTACCAGGATACGCACAGTTCTGCATTTTATACCTTCCTTACCACATCCCGAGCATATGCTTTTTGGCTGGACTTCATATGTGTGATTTACATAACGATTACCACGCTTAGCTTTTTCGCCTTTCCCCCACCAAATGCCGCAAATGTGGGCTTGGTCATAACTCAGGTGCATCACCATTGAATCATTCTAGGTTTTAATACTTATAGTAGATTATGCTTGATTATCAGGTCCTGGGCTTGACTGGGCTGGTGCAGTTTGCAATGCGACAATCCGCTGAGCTGGAAAACCTTATGACTGCCGTGGAGCGAGTGGTTGAGTACGAGGACATCGAGCCGGAAGGAGAATTGGAAGCACCAGTGGATAAGAAGCCACCTAAATCGTGGCCAGAGCAAGGAAAAATCGTGTTTGATGAACTAAGCTTGCGCTATATTCCCAATCCGAAGGCAAAGTGTGTGCTAAAGTCGCTTAATTTTATTATAAAACCAAGGGAAAAGGTGGGAATCGTTGGACGTACTGGTGCAGGAAAATCTTCGCTGATCAATGCCCTCTTCCGACTTTCTTACAACGAGGGATCAATTCTAATAGATACGAGGAATACGATCGATATGGGTCTCCATGATCTGCGAAGCAAAATTTCAATTATTCCTCAAGAACCTGTGCTCTTCTCCGGCACAATGAGATACAATTTGGATCCATTTGACGAGTATTCTGATGACAAGCTGTGGCGCAGCCTGGAGGAGGTGAAGCTCAAGGATGTGGTGGCCAAAATGTCCACTGGACTGCAGACCAAGATCACAGAGGGCGGAACCAATTTCAGTGTGGGTCAGCGCCAGTTGGTCTGCTTGGCTCGAGCTATTCTGCGCGAGAATCGTATCCTGGTAATGGATGAGGCCACTGCCAATGTGGATCCACAGACGGATGCCCTCATCCAGGCCACCATCCGGAACAAATTCAAGGAATGTACAGTACTGACGATAGCTCAT